TTCGGGCGCCCCGAGGTGGACCTCTTCGCGTCGGCGTGGTCGCGGCGTCTTCCCGTTTATGCGGCGCCCTTCCCCGATTGCGAGGCCGTCGGGGTCGATGCCTTTCGGCTCGACTGGTCGAGGTGGGGGTTCCCGTACCTCTTTCCCCCGGTTCGGCTGTTGCTCCAGGTCCTGACTCGCTTAGAGACTTACCGGGGGAGAGTTGTCCTTCTGGCCCCTTGGTGGCCGGCCCAGCCTTGGTTTCAGGCGCTGGTTGCTCGGTGTCCGAACCCGAGGGTTTTCCCGCGGCTCCGCCTCTTTCAGCAGATCGGGCCGGTACGTCACGTAGCTGGTTCGATCTTCTCCTCGAGTCTTCGCGTATGTTTTTTTTTACTAGAGTCTATCATCATCTCTATGGTGATCAGGTGGCCTCCTTGTTGGTGTCCCACCTGAGGGCTTCTTCTCGGCGGCAGTATGAAGTTTCCTGGCGGTCCTTCCGTTTCTTTTTGCGTCTTCGTCGTGTTGGCTCCTTGTCTGTTCGGGTGGTCTTGTCCTTCCTCTCGTGGTTGTTTCAGGACCGTCATCTTATGCCTATCACTGTCGCTTCGTATCGTGCGCCGCTGGCGGAGCCGCTTCAGCTTGCTTTCGGTATCAATGTTACGTCTGCGCCGTTTCGCAAGCTGTCTCGTGCATTGTTTCACCTCCGGCCTGCTCATGCCTCGCCTGAGCCGTCCTGGTCTTTGGACAGAGTGCTCGCTTTCCTTTCATCTCCTCGTTTCGTTGTGGCCCCTTCGGTCCAGGATTGTTTTTCCAAGGCACTTTTCTTGTTGGCTTTGGCCTCTGGGGGTCGGGTAGGGGAGCTTCATGCTCTCCTCCGGCGCAGGGGTTTCTGCTCTTTTGGTCGTGGTGATAGTTTTGTTCGTTTGCAGCCGTCTCCTTCTTTTCTGGCGAAGAATGAGACTGCTGCGTTCCGGAGGGGTCCATGGGTGGTTGATGCTTGGTTGGTCAGGCCGGGGGTGCATCAAGTTTTTGTGTCCGGTTGCGGCGCTTCGGCGTTATTTGCGCGCCACAGCTTCTGTGTCCGGGGACGCGCTGTGGGTTGATCCGGTTTCCCTTCTTCCCTGTTCGCGGGTTCGGGTCTCTCAGGTCGTCCGCAGGGTTATTAGGTCCAGCCAGCCTGCGGTCTATCCCCGTGCCCATGACGTTCGTAAGTTCGCGGCTCTTGCTGCCGTCTTTGGGAATATGTCTTGGTCTGATATTCGGGCGCGGGGATTTTGGCGGTCGAACAGGGTCCTGGCTGCTCGTTACCTTGTGAATGTCCCTGGGCCTCGTCGGGCCTGTGTTGCTTTGGGTCGGCGGTTGCAGCCTGTTGTCTCGGCTTCGAGTTGAGGGGTGAGCGACGACCGCCTCCTGGGTAAGTCCCTCTTTTTCTGTCTGTGGGTAGTTAGCTCCGGGGAGCCGACGGGGCTCCCCCCAGAAAACCAGCGTTGAATGTAATGAAACGCCATTTTCTGGGTGAGTCCCGGAGGCTCCCCGGCATCCCTCCCTCCCTCCGGTCGGCGGTTTTTCGCGTTTTTGACATCCAGCCTCAAGAACTGAGGTGTGGGTAGCCGGCGCGGGGGGTCTGGGGCTCCCCCTTCCCCCTCCCGGGGAGGGGGGAGCTGCGCAGACAGCGGCGCGGCAGTGTGTGACGTCACACTAGTTTGCTTGTTTTCGGTTGGGGAGTTCTATCCACTAGTTCGGTTTTAGGTAGCAATTTTAACCAGAATAGGGGTTTGTTTTGGGGCGCTTACCTTTCTGGGTGCCTGTTCCGGTCGATGGCAGACATAGAATGCTTCCAACTACACGGGGGCTTCTATAGGCCATTGCTCCCCTTGCCTCTCTGAGGGGGCCCGGTTCTGGCCGTGGTCCCCGGTAGGCCTAAGAACTCCATACACATGACTGATGCCAAAGTCTGACATTAGCATATCAGCCTGGGATAGCTCCGGGGAGCCTCCGGGACTCACCCAGAAAATGGCGTTTCATTACATTCAACGCTGGTTTTTTGGTCCTAAACAAAGCTAAAGCCACATCCCCCGGTGAAGATGGTATCACTTATGACATATTGCGTTTGCTTCCTCTAGTACCAGGAAATTCCTTTCTTGAGATGTATGATATGAGCTATGTTACTGGGGAACTTCCTATCTCTTGAACCAACAGTATAATCATTCCTATTCCCAAGCCAAATCAGGATAATGTGTTCCGCCCAATTTCCCTTTTTAGCTGCATTTGCAAAACATTCGAAAGAATGGTCCTAAACCGTCTCCTCTATAGAATATGAACCATGCTATTCCCCCCAGATATATATGGCTTCATGCATGGAAGGAGTGGGCATCATTGCATCACTACCTTTCGTACCCTGCACACTGAAAAGTCATATACCATCTTCCTAGATCTCAAGTCTGCCTTTGATATTGCAAACCGACATGTTGTCTTGAGTGAGCTTATGAGAATGAATACTTGAGGTTATCTTGAGATCTTGAGTCTGTATTGGTGGTTGGCGTCTTTGTTGGATTAGGGAGTTTCTTATCCAACAGGAAGTCATCTTTGTTTTTCCAGGGGCATAGAAGTGTAACAAGAGACTTCAAACTAGGTACCCCACAGGGAGGTGTCCTCAGTTCTACATTATTTAATATCTTAATAAATATGCTGTTAAACTCTGTTCCGACCGAGCAAACCCAATGTGCACATCATTAGTTATGCTGATGATTTAATGATACACACCACTGGGTATGCTAACACGAACACTTGTGTTAGCAGTGTTAAGTGGTAATACAGAGTTAAGAGAATACTCTTAACTCTGTATTAGACTCATGTCAGGACCTAGGTTTAGTCATCTCAGCAAAGAAAACAGATACTAAATTTGGCGCCGACCCAGGGAGGGAGGAGCTGTTTGCAAAATGCAACTGTATGATGGCTCCCAGCTTGACTATGTAAACAGATTCAAATGTCTTGGCCTTGAGGTGCCACTGTATGGTTCTGTTGTATTCAGACTTTGTCATCAGTATAAAGAGAGGCTCCGAGCTCTCAAGGCTGTTGCAGGTTATCACTCAGGCTATGGTGCAAATGTCAGAATTGTCAAAATGATGTGCCTTGCATACATCAGATCTTTACTGGATTATGCTGGACCTCTGCTTACTTTGATGCCTGAAAAAATGTTTGGAGGGCTTGAAAAATTGCAGAACGAAGCCTTGAGGATAATCCTTGAGGGTGCCCCTTGTACCACAAAGATACTGTACTTAACATGAGAAAGGAATTTAATACAGTATTCTGAGTGTTGTTGATCGTGTTACTGAAATTAACTGTCAAATTGGTATAAAAATGCTTAGGCTAACTCATCCTAACCCTTGCACAGAAGCCCTCCAGAATTTCTTTATTGAAAGTCAACATTGTTCCAAATGGATAACTAAAACTGGAACTCAACTCAGAATGTATCAGGTTTATAATTTGTACCAAGAGAAACAACAACGGCACTTTCCTGCACCGTGGGAGATTATACCCTTTCCAATTTTAATCCCTCCCCTTTTCACCCAAGAAGCAAATTAGAGATCAGCCCAAGCTTCGTCTTGAGGCAAAGCTCAACGCCTTAAGCCATATTGATGCTCTGTCCACAGAACATTCTCTCTCTCAAATCATATACAGTACACTGATGGTTCCCTACACCACCCCACGGGTGCAGTTGGAAGTGCAGTTGTCCTGACAATGGGCGATGGCTTATATTTTGAGTGGGGAGTTCATATAAACACCTGGGGCCTCTACCCTTCAGACAGAACTATTTGCCTTGCTTCTTGCACTGAAATGTGTACAAGTCTCCAAACTTGATACATTAATTGTAAGTAACTCTTTATCCTTAAGTGCTCTCAACAGTTTAAGACATAACTGTAACATGCTCGTGTCCGAAGCTAGACACAAATACAACAAAATTATTAATGATGATAACAGAGTCCATTTCATGTGGACTCCATCTCATGTTGGCCTCCAAATTCATGATAGAGCTGATGAGTTAGCCAAAGAATCTGCCTTTAAAGGAGAAATTGAGTATAACCTTGGATTGTCAATATGTAGTCTGAGAGCAATAGTACACCAAGAACTTCAACAAAATCTTGTAGATCTACACCAAAACTTCAACAAAATCTTGTAGATCTAAGGCAAAATGAAATTGACACCAGTAATTCCATCTATCATCATTCTATCATGCAAGAGGAGCCACACATCTATGGTTCATCCAATAAAATCGGCAGACTTCTAGATGTTACTACTGCTCGGCTTAGATTCGGCTACAAGTATCTCTGGGAATTCTCATTATCTGCCGATGTAGACTTGACCAAATGTAAACTGTGTCAACAAAATTGTTCGCACGCCCTCCGTCACCTGCAAAAACCAGAATGTGGACATGCCAACAATGATGTCACTGCCCAACACACCATACCAACTATGGTTACCGAGGCTTCACCCTATCACCCAATTTATTCTTATATGCTCACTTTTCTTCTATTCGTTTTCTTTTGCCTTTTCTCCTTACTTAATTTTATATGTACCTGACCTCTTCAGTGTTATAAACCAAATGTTCCCCTTATGCCTTCTCACTCCTCACTTTGTGTTAAATTATAATAAGTACAATACAGTACATTTGTTCAAGGTTGACTAAAAGAACATTTTTGTTCTTTTAATCAACCTTGAACAAATGACATTAGGAGAAATCCTCTTCCATATAAACCAGAATGCAAGAGCACTAGTCAGAGGGATAGAAGCCCTAAATAAGAAAATAATCAACACGGAATACGCAGTCATGTGCAGTGAAACATGTCGAAATGAAAACCTGCTGCCAGTATACACCAATATTTTATATACTTTATGTACAGTGTATGGTTATATATATATATATAGTCTTTGTTATATGACAAGTACTGTGCTATCTGATAACTGTTACAGTACAATGTACTTGTGACTTCGTCTATTTTAATTTTCATTTCCTGTCACAGGCGACCTCATGAAGGGGTGGATGCATCCGGCCTTCCCACCAACTTCCTAGTCATGAATCTGCTCTCAGGCGTCTCAGAGGTTAGTGTGGTCTTTCTACATCATTTTGTAGTACTTCAAGAAATTTTGTAATTTATGCGATTACAAAGTTCATTGGTATTATGTCTCTTGCTCACTTGTTAAAATGAAAAAAGGCATGCAAGTCACTGGTTCTTTTATTGCAAAAATGTAAATTAACATAAAACAATCTACTAGGTGTGTCGGTTTTTTCCAGAATTGGTAAAAAAAGAGCTGTGAAGAGCCCGGTTGGCTCCCAGGAGCTATTGGACTGATATATGCTACATTAGTCTGGGGCTTCAGTCAATGGAATTTTGCCTACCGGACACCACGAGCCAGAACCTGGCCTCCTCAGAGAGGCGCAGGGAGTAATGGCCTAAGAAAACCCCTTTGTAACAAATCCACAATTTGCAGGATTCGAACCTGCGTCCAAGAGCATCCCAGACGCTGCCTTAATCGACTGAGCTATGACATGGTCAAAAGAGTTGAAACCGAAGTTCTACTGAACTTACTGGATCCTGCAGTCTCTCCAAGATACAAACCAGGGTTTTACACAACTCCCCCATGCACTTGAGCTATGTCAATAGGCCATTCTTTCTCTTTGCCCTTACTTCAAAGAGGGTGAAGGCCTCTTGCTTCAAGAAAAAAATGGCCCTTACTTCAAAGAGATACAACCCTTTGTATTTGAGAGTATTCCATGTCTGCCATCAAACGGGGTTAGGCACCAAGAAAGGTAGGCATTCCAAAAACAGACTGCTTGTCTGCACAGGTCTCTCCTCATCCCCACCCCCTGGGAGGGAAGAGCCCCAGACCCCTGTGCCGGCTGCACACTCCTCGGTTCATAAGCTAAAGCGCTCTGGGGCTGTTGTCAACTCTGCCCTCGGGTTTGTGCCTTTGTGGTGTTTCCTGCTGTTTGTGGTGCAGTGGTCAGGAGTAATGTAGTGTACTGTGGCTGCATGCACTTAGGGCTGCCTTCTATGAGCAAGCAGGGAGCTGGTCGGCCGAGCGGACAGCACGCTGGACTTGTGATCCTGTGGTCCCTGGTTCGATCCCGGGCACCGGCGAGAAACAATGGGCAGAGTTTCTTTCACCCTATGCTCCTGTTACCTAGCAGTAAATAGGTACCTGGGTGTTAGTCAATTGTCACGGGCTGCTTCCTGGGGGTGGAGGCCTGGTCGAGGACCGGGCCGCGGGGACACTAAAAATCCCCTAAATCATCTCAAGATAACCTTTCAAGATATCTTGTAAGTGCTACCCTTGGGTTCTTGGGTTACTTTCCCTAGGGCCTTCGGGCCTCACTTCCGTAGGGGGTTCCTGCTGCTCGGCATTTATCTCGCCCTTGGGGCCATCTGGGGTTTCATGGCCTTTGTTTGACTCTGGGTAGGAAGTGTTGTTGTTGGTTTGGGGCACAAGGTGCTGTGCAGCACACCTACCCAGCGGCGGCCATGTTTCCTGTTCCTGCTGTTGTTGTTATGCTTTTTCGGGGTTTTTCTTTTCATTTTTTTCTTGCCTGGAGGAGGTCTGCTTGTCTGCAGTCTGTTTGCAGGAGGGCTGCGCAGATGAGTGGCGAGGTGTGATGTTTGCTTGTTTCCTTGGAAATTGAGGGAGTTCTGCCTCTGTTCGGTTTTTGGTTGCAATTTTCTTACTGAGTGGGGTCTGTTTTGTTATCCTACTTTTCTTGGTGCCTAACCCCAGTTGATGGCAGATAAGGAAAACCCCCAACCACAGGGGGGTTGTCCTGGGGCCATTGCTCCCTGTGCCTCTCTGAAGGGGGGGGGCAGGGTCTGGCTCGTGGTTCCCAGTAGACTGAACTCCATTGACTAATGCCCTGGTCTAATGTATCACACATTAGCCTGATAACTCCAGGGAGCCTCCGGGGCTTACCCAGAAAATGGCGTTTCATTACATTGAATGCTGTTTTTTTTTTTTTTTATACATTTAAGTTTGATTTGCATGGTTTTTGCAGGAGCATAACCCTGTCTCCCACTAAAATCAAGGACCCTCCTGCTCAGTAATAAATATTTTCAGAGCGATGATGCCATGTTGCATGTGAAAAATTCCGACGGTAATGAGAAGAAGGTGGATGAAAACCAAAGCAGTACTGAAGAAGCTGGTCATGATACTGAAGAGGACGAGGATAACATAGTGAGGAAAGACTACACTGGTAAACACAGAGGGCAAAATGGCAAACAAAGAAATGAGCCTCAAGATTGCCCTTCAGCTGTGTGCAACTCTTCAAGAGGTGCTGAGGAACTTCAAGAATATATCTGGTACAAGGACTGGAAAATAAGACTATTGTTTGGGGTGTTTATTTTAGTCACGGCAGCTATTGGAATTGGAGTGGCCTTAGGATGTAATACTTATGTCCTTAATCGTAAGTTACAGTTAATCTTTTTTGGGACACAGGGTGTCCCAGAAAGTCTGGCCCCATAGGCAGAGTATAAAAGAGAATAATAGGATTTTTTAATATAATTCAGGAATTATCAGTTACAATACATGTTCAAAATGACATCCATTTACTGCAATACATTTTTTAACATATTCAGTGCAAGACCTTTGAACATTTCTAAACATGGAAGTACAGTATTTGGTTTTGTGGCTTCAAATTCTCTTTATCCTTTAGTGCATGAATTGTTCCAGGACGGTTATTATACACTGCCGATTTAAGATGGCCCCATAGGAAGTATTCCAAAGGCGTTAGAGCTGGAGATTTTGGTGGCCATTCACTTTGTTTCTTGTACAAATGCATCAACAATCATTACAAAACGTTGGGAGAGCACCATCCTGCTGAAACCACATATATCTTCGATGGAATAATGGTATGTCATCCAATTTAGGTGTAAGGAACTTTTGCAGCACGTGCAGATATAACTTAAGCCATCACAGTATCGAATTTGTTTTTTTTCTAAGGTCTTCCTTTGAACACATACGAAAATGTATTGAAGTAAATGGATGTGATTTTGAACATGTATTGTAACTGATAAACAAACTGATAATTCATAAATTATACTACAAAATCCTAGTGGTTTTGTTTTGTACTTTGCCTGTGGGGCTGGACTTTTGGGACACCCTGTACAGTATAACAAACCTAATTTTCTGATACGTATATGCCTTTGTAACACTATTACTTATTATTAATAAGATATTCATAGTATATCTTACAGCCTGAAATGGCTAAAAATAGGTGACTTCAGATACTTTGACATGAAATTTAATATTAATACATATAATAATAGTATTTTAATTATAATAGTATTATAATAAGAAATGGTGTTTCACAAATTATAGCTCCTATTGCCATTGCATTAGTTAACTTTTAAAACTTTTTGTAAGTAAAAATAAAAAATTCACCTTATGCTTTTCTGTTCACATCATTACTGCTGCCTCAGAGATGGGATTCACATCTACTGGAATTGTGAGGAAAAGTTACGCTTCCAAGTTAATGTCCTCCACTTCCCGCAGCAACAACGGAACCATTCCTCCGGAGAGCTGGGTATGTTTGTCTCCTCGGGGACTTGGGTAAAGTTTTATCCGAGCTGGGGCAGTTTGTTTAAATTCTACTCGCAGCGAGTGAACTGTTCTTTTTTCATGTAAGTTATCTATATTATTTTTAGGGATTCTTAATAGGAAAGGTAGTGTGCATCATAAGGTTTTAACTGTTAATTTATTTATTAAGATCTGCACCTGTTGATAGTTGCCGTCAATTTATATTACCAGTGTAGGTAGAACACTGACCAAGCCAGGCTTCCAGTGACAATTTTAATATGCCAGTAACAAGTCCCATTTTTGTTTGCCCTCTCCTTGTGGTTGGGATGCTTGGGATGATCAATGATCAATCCACCTAAAAGATAAACATCTCGAGAACAGGCACACCCTAAAACTCGACCCTTCTACAAAAATGGGTTTGGAAACCGCTAATCGCCAAACAACACTGAACAATCTAGTCCCATTAATCTGACTACTTCAACTGTCTCAATGTGGCAGCTGAGCTACCCAAGGGTTGGGATGAGCACGGATGCCTACACTCTTGCCTGACATTGTGATGATGGGGTCTTGCCAACCGATTGCCAACCGAAGACATGTGCATTTTAATCAAAGTTAATTGGCTAATTGTTGACTTTGGTGTCCCACACAGTGGGTCCATCCTTGGAACATTTCACAGCTTGTATGTCTCTGTTTCAGGGTCTCTTTCCCTGCTTAACTTCCAGAGTTATCTTCTCATGAGGATTTAGATTCCTCCCAAAAACCAATTACAGTTATCCTTTTTGAGTTGGGCCTAGCCAAGTAGTGCTGGTTAGTTCTGTCAGTAGATTGAGGCCCTGCCGTGGGTGTGCGATGTATTTAGTGTGCGATTGTTGTGTGTTGTGCTTGTTCTGGCTTGTTTTAAGGCTAGAAGTCTGACAGGTTTAGCTCTTGAATGACATTGAATGAGCATTACAAGTTTATTTCTGACATCTGCATACCAGATTGTACAGCAGGGATTTGCCAATTCCCCGGCATCAGGGAGGGTTTACCAAATTGTTCTGCTGCTGGCAATGCCACAGTAGATTTGCCAGCCAGTATTGAGTGACTGTTGCTCACAAATCTCCTAGGTGTTTCACTTGGTTTTCTGGGAGGCTTACTTGGTAGCTGCTCGTAGGTTGTGCTTTGGTGAAGCCAAGCCTTGAGAAGTGCACCAGGTCTCCGAGGCCTATGCCATCACAGTATCTAGTGTTCTGAGGTGAGTGGAGCATGGAAATTGGAAATTAACTCCAAACTGAGAAAACTCACCTGAAAGATGGGGAAACAAACACTGCCTTAAAAAAATAGTCAACTATTACATAACATGCCTTTATAAAGCAGTTTTACTGGAGTTTAAATGTTTTCAAAAACCATAGTTGTTTTATTAAAAAAAAATTTTTTTTACCATGGTTTTAAAAACCATGTTTTAACAGGTGTTCATTTCAATTAAATCACACACACACACACACACACACACGTAGGAGGGATGCCCTCGGTGACTTCCTGAACCACCCCGCCTGCAAACCTAGGGTACCACACCAGGCACTAATGAATCACCAGTGCTTACTGGAGACTAGGACCTGAATCTGGTCACTTCTATAGAGGCAAAAGGAATGACCACCAAGAAAGTAGAGTGAATCAAAACAGCTGCTTAAACAACAGTATGCAACTTTGATTCAAACTATGTATACACTCGTTGAAAAGGTCCATTTGCTAGTTAGCAACACATCACCACCACCAGGTGGCCTCTGTGGTGACCTGAAGGTTCCAGGCAGCCGCCCCAGTCACTTGTGCATATGGTGTCTCCTGGTACTTCACTTCTCTGCAAACACCCGTCTCTCAGTCGAGTTGAATTTCCTTTGGATTTTATCCTTGCAAGGGCCGCTGCTCTCTTGTTTCCTTTCTTGTCTCATGTACACGTATTTTTGGCCAACCTGTTGTGTATTCCTCGATTACTTGTCCGTCTCGGCTGCCTGGGGCCACAGTTGCCATCTCTGGTTGCCACTTGTCACCTTCTTCAAAGCATTCAAAGCTCGCCATGACTGTCTCCCGTCTTTGCCCTCTGGATTTGCCTTCAAAACCATCCTGGTATTTTGACATGCTCTATACTCCTCATTTTGAAGTCTTCATCTTTAGAGTGTGAATTTCAAGACGGCATTCCTCCTCCCCATAAATTTAGGTTGTTGTGCCTGGGGATTACATGCTCTTGGTCAGCATTCTGAACCATTGTCATTTGGGTCTGTTAATCAGTGTATGTATTAGGTTGTAACCTCCTCTATTCTGTTTTGAAGAATTAATATGCTTCATACCATCATGGGTCAATCATTGTTTTTGGTTATTTTGTTAGTTCTGGGCTGCACCATACTCCCTGTCTTGTAGCACATGTTTAGTGTTGTCTTCAAATTGCTAAGGAGTGTCATTCTTTTAAGTTATATTTTAGTCCCTAAGTGGTTAAGCTGAGTCAGCACTGTGCATAGCCCCATGCACAGCCCCATGCACAGCCCCATGCACAGCCCCGTGCACAGCCCCGTGCACAGCCCCGTGCACAGCCCCGTGCACAGCCCCGTGCACAGCCCCGTGCACAGCCCCGTGCACAGCCCCGTGCACAGCCCCATGCACAGCCCCGTGCACAGCCCCATGCACAGCCCCGTGCACATGATGTAAAGAAGAATGCAGCTTTGACAGCCTTTTTAGCCATGAGTTTGGTCATCATGCAGCTCGTCATCCTGAGTGTTGCCAACGTCACTAAACTGCCATACTAAAATGCCCAACCCTAACCAACCCAAGGACCCACGAACAAAAAATGGGACATCGTGTCAATTTCACAAGCCGATGCTATTTTTTTGTGCATCAGTTTATGGTCTTTGGTAAAGTACATCAAAATGTGATGTGTTACTAGGAGAACGGGTTGCACTTTTGAAGGCTCGAAGCTGTTGAAAGGTAAATGTGATAGTATTTGCTTTGCCTTCCACATCCGTGTGGCTGATGCAGTTTTGGTGTAGCTGACTTGTTTTTTCTACCTCATGTAATGGAGTAGTACTGTGGGTAGAAGCCTAAAGTAGGTACCAGGAGGAGCTTCCTCAAAAATAAAGCATTACTCCTTTGTAAGGCCTCGCTTACAAAGGGTTTTTTTACGCTTAACCTCGCTAGCTCCCTGTTATTGGCCTATATTTCTCATCATACCCAAAGATTCGTTGCACAGCAAAGTGGGATGGAGACCAACCACCAGCCCGAATGTGTGCTGGAACTTTTATCTTGTGGCGACCGAGGTACTTAGTGGGTCTTTGTTTTGAGGGGTTTGTGTATTATAGTGAGCATTTACCTTGTGGTGTATTGAGGTGTGCTCTCCACTGAGCTTTTCCTCCATGTTTATATCTGGGACAAGATAATTTTCAATGGTATTTGTTCCCAGAAGATAGTCACTCAGCCTAGTGGAAAATGTCTGTCATCATAGATTTAGATCATAAGGCTAAGGCTCCACAAAGGTAGAGCTCTGAAAGGGGCATTTCATTTCATCTTAACACATAGCTGCTAATCATTTTCCTTTGTTTAATGTTTAAATGTCAAATTTCATCGTGTGGAAATCAAAGAAATTTATATACAGTATGTTGTATTTTGTTATATTTTCTCATTTCTACCTCTAAATGCTGTATATTTTCCTCACTGTGTACAGGTGGCATGGCTGCAAAACGCTGGTCACAAAGGCTTTGATTCCAAGACTCAGGCAGGCCATGCACTGCTGGGTGCTCTTGCCGGGGTGCTGGTTGGAACACTCACCTTCGGGGTCATGGTCGCTGTGTGTCTGGGAGTACGACGCTGTAGAAGCACCAGAACTGAACAACATTTGCTGGTAGATGATGTGCCACTAATGACAAACAGTGAAGTAATTAGCAGAAAGAGGAAAAACTGATACTAATAATACCATGCTATCAATTTTTTGGCAAGTGCATATTCTTTGTGAATATTTTATTTTGTATCTTAAATGTGTATGGGAAATTTAGTAGCAGTTTATAGTTTTTGAAGATACAGAAATATTTATTTACTTTGTCGTTTTTATCTATGGTAATGTTAGCTAGTACTGTAGTTACTTAGGTTTGACGCCTGTACCTTGTAATGGTGACTTGACCTTGATCATTGTCATTTACTAATAGTAATGCGTTGTGTAGAGAATATAAGCAATGTAAAAAGGTCCTAGCACACTTATTGAGAAAAATTCCTTGTCTTAGTTTTGGGATGTGGTGATCTCATTGCCATTCGTTAAGTAGTGCAAGAATTCGTACTTAGCTAGTATTCACCTAGTTGTGTTTGCAGGGTTTGAGCTCTGGCTCTTTTGGCCCACCTTTCAACTGTCAATCAAGCTTCTTTTTTTTCCCACACACACACATAACCAGGAAGCAGCTTGTAGTAGCTGTCTAACTCCTAAATACCTATTTACTGCTAGGTGAACAGGAGCATCAAGAAGAAAGAAACTCCACCCATTTTCTGGGGGGAGCCCCGTCGGCTCCCCGGAGCTATCCCAGGCTGATATGCTAATGTCAGACTTTGGCATCAGTCATGTGTATGGAGTTCTTAGGCCTACCGGGGACCACGGCCAGAACCGGGCCCCCTCAGAGAGGCAAGGGGAGCAATGGCCTATAGAAGCCCCCGTGTAGTTGGAAGCATTCTATGTCTGCCATCGACCGGAACAGGCACCCAGAAAGGTAAGCGCCCCAAAACAAACCCCTATTCTGGTTAAAATTGCTACCTAAAACCGAACTAGTGGATAGAACTCCCCAACCGAAAACAAGCAAACTAGTGTGACGTCACACACTGCCGCGCCGCTGTCTGCGCAGCTCCCCCCTCCCCGGGAGGGGGAAGGGGGAGCCCCAGACCCCCGCGCCGGCTACCCACACCTCAGTTCTTGAGGCTGATGCTATAGGCGATGGTCGTGTGCTCTGGCTCCGGTGTCGCTACTGCACTGTGCTTTGCGTGTGGTGTTAGTTTTGTGGGTGTGAGAGCCAGGAGTTATCTTCAGTACTCGGGCTGCATGCGCCTAGGGCTGCCTTCCCTAGGTGCCCTGTAAGTACTGCCCTTGGGGCTTGGGGCCACCTTCCACAGGCTCCTCGGGGTCTGCCTCTGCTGGTCCGTTTTACCTTTCGGTTTTTCGGCCGCCTGTTGGGCTCTTGGGTGTTCTGTTCTCCCTTGTTACCGGCAGGTAAGAGGCAGTTTGCACTGGTAGGGGCGCAGGGTGCTGCTCAGCTTGTATTTCCCGACATCGCGGCCGGCTCTGTTCCTTGGGGTTCGCTGTCCTCTTGCGGGGTTTTGTTTTTCTTTTTGCCTGGTGGGGGGTTCTGTCATTTTATTCAGTTTGTTTGCCCTTCCACTGTTCTCCTCGGTGGCGCCCCCTGCTAGGTCCCCGTGAGTGTACACGTCCCTGGGGTTCAGCTTTAGAAGTTTGCTTGGTAGTTTTGGGCGCCGGTTTGCGGCACCCTGCCTGGGACTACCTGAGCGCGAGTCCTCTTAAAGTAAACGCTCAGGACCCTGGGAATCCCCTAGGGGGCGCGTGGGTCCGATGGATGTGACCCCGGAGTCCCCACTCGCTGTGTGCGAGTTTGAGGGTTGCTCGGTCCCCTTGTCTCAGGGTGACCCTCATTGTTTTTGCCTCTGCCACGCTGCCTGTTGGGTCGGTGATACTTTCGACCCTGAGTCCTGTGAGTGTTGCTGCTTGCTTGTGACTCAATTTACCCAATCCTCTGATGATTCTATTCGGGTACAGGCGGCACGGGCGTTGCAGTCTAGGTTTCGTCTGTTGCAACGCGCCCGGTTGGTTGCTTCCCCGGATGCCCCGGGGCTGCCCCGCTTTGCTTTTCGAGACCCGGACTTGGGGGTGGGGGTCGCTTCGATCCTGGTTCAGTCCGCACCTCCTCGTCCTTCCCCTTCTGTTCGTTCTGGTCCCCCGCCCCTGCTTCCGGCCCCGAAGCATCTGAGGGTTTCGGGGTCGGAGCAGGGGTTACTTGATCTCGAGACTCGGGCAGCTTCGGGGGTTGCCCCTTCCGGGGGGGCGGCAGAGGCATTCGAGTCTTGTCTCCCGGCCGAAGCTTCAGGGTCTGACCAGTGGGCCCCCCTTCCTCCAGCTTTTCCGGCTGCTCCGTCCTTGTCTTGTGGGGTCGGGGCTTGGGGAGAGGACTCGGCCTCGGGTCCTGTGGTGACGGACCTCGAGGCTGGGGAGGGGCTGACTTGGGGGCCTTGGGCCCCGCTGGACCCCGCCTGGGTTTTTTTTCCCACTGAGCGGGGCTTATTGTTACAAGGAGTGGGGTTTTCTTTCCCCCCCCCTCTGCGTACGAGTTGGATTTGGTATCGGCCCCTCCCCGGGTACGGTTCCGTGTTCCCCCGGGTACGTCGGTTCCGTCCTTCCGGAGGTTTTCGGCTTATCGCATCCAACCTGGTGTGGTGCGAGCGGCCTTTGCAGCTTACCTCCTGCGTGACCCGGATTATGCCTCGGAAATGGATCCGTCCACGTTCAGGTTTGGGACTTCGTTCCCTTTCTGGCTCTGTTACGAGGTTCCGGAGTCGTCCTGGCTAGCAGACTGCCCCTTGTTTGGTCTGGATTCCTGGCATTCCTTCTGTCGTTCCCGCACGCTGGAGTGGCGGGAAGCTTCCACGGTGCTTCAGGTTTTCCTGGGGGTGATCTTGAGTACCTGAATGTGTGCTTGTTTGCCCCTGCCCTTCCCCGCGATGTGGGCGTTATTCAGCTCCATGTGCAGGTTCCCTCCCTTTCGGCGGCGCTCGTGGCGGAGGACTTGCGCGCTCGGGGCCTTTTGTGTTCGGCCTTGCGGTTCTTTTCCCTCCTGGAGCTGTCTTCGGATTGGCTCGTGGAGGATGTGGGGACGCTTGGGTCCGTCCCGGGGTCCGGCACCTTGTCCTCGGCTGCGCGTTCGTTGGCTGCCTTGTTGAAGCTGTTCACGCCGATTTTGCGGGATGCGGTTTCCCCGTTCTATGCTTCCCGTCTCGCGTGTCGGCAGGCGGTGCTGGGTTCCTCCGTGGAATCTGCTTGGGCTCTGGCTCTTAGGCGTTCTTCACCTTTTTGTCCTCTCCTGTTTGGGGAGTCGGCCGTGGCGCAGTTTATTCAGGCTGCGTCGGCGGCTTGTCGTCCGATGTCGGACTTGTTGGTTTTCCGGGGGTCCCGGGGTGGGTCTTCCCGGAAAGGTCGTGCCAGGGCTCGGGGTTCCTCTCGTCGTGGTAGGCCTCTGGTGTCAGGTTTGGGGTTGGCTCCTCCTGCGGACCCTCCCTCGTCTGGTCGGTGCGGTGTTCGCGCTGTGCGGGGTTCTGGGTCTCGTAAGGGTCGCCGGCCCTTTCGCGGTTTGCCCCTTTGACGGGGCGATGGGGGGGCGGCTTGCGCTGTTCGCTCGCGCCTGGTCCCACGATTCGTGGGCCTTTCGGGTCGTGTCTCGCGGCCTGCGGTGGCGTTGGGTGGCCCCTCCCCCCTTTGGGGGGTCGGGGCTGGCAGGGCAGGCTTCTTCCCCTGCGCTCTGTCGAGTCGTCTTGGAGTGGGTGCGCCTGGGCGTCGTCGAAACGACGTCGTCCCTCAGATGGGTTTCCCGTCTGTTTCCGGTTCCGAAACGGGACTGCGCGGACCTGCGGTTCATTCTGGACTTGTCCCGTCTGAACCCCTGGGTTCATTGCCCCTCCTTTCGGATGACTACGCTGTCTCAGGTTCGGCTCCTCTTGGAGCCGGGAGCTTGGATGGTGTCCCTGGACCTCCGGGACGCTTATTGGCATGTCCCGATTCATCCGCGGTTCAGGGACTGGCTCGGTTTTGTAGTGGGGCGTCTGAGTTACCGCTTTCGTTGTCTCCCGTTCGGGTTGAACCTGGCACCTCGCGTGTTCACACGCCTTACACGGGTTGTGGTGGCTCGTTTGCGTCTCCTAGGTGTTCGGGTGTTGGCCTACCTCGACGACTGGCTGGTTTGGGCTCCCAGCCAGTCAGCTTGCTTGCTAGCCAGGGATTTGGTTCTTTCCCAGCTCGCCGGGTTCGGGTTCTTGGTGAACTGGAGGAAGTCCCATCTGGTTCCCTCTCAGGTTCGGACTTGGCTGGGTCTCGTGTGGGACTCTCGAACTGCCTCCTTGTCTCTCCCTCCGGAGTCTCTCCTGCGGCTGCGGTCCCGCCTTCGTCTGTTTCTGGAGGGCCCTCGGGTCACCCGGCGGTTGCTCGAGGGGCTGTGCGGGAGCCTGAACTTCGCGATGGTGGCCTACCCGCCGGGTCGGGTTTGGCTTCGACGGCTGTTCTGGTTCCTTCGGGGTTCCCCCTTCCGCCTCTCTCGCGATCGCAGAGTTCGACCCCCGGGGGACTTGCGTCGGTTGCTGCGTCACCGGCTTCCTCTTCGGGTTTTTCGGGGTTCAGTGCCTTGGCGCCTACCCGAGCCCTCGCTCGATGTGTACACGGATGCGTCGTCTCTCGGCTGGGGTTTTGTGACCAGTGCTCACCAGGCCGGCCAGGGGCGTTGGGATCCGTCCTTCCGTCGAGCTCACAGTACGGTGCGGGAGTTCGCGGCAGTGTGGTTTGCTCTGGGGAGGATTCGGGTGGCCCGCGGATCGACGATTCGGCTCCATTCGGACTGCTCTCCGGTGGTTCATTGTCTGAACCGAGGGGGTTCGATGCGGTCCTTGTCTCTTTGGGGTTGGTCGCTTCGGGTGACTCGTCTGCTGAGTTCTCGGGGTTTGGCTCTCCTGGCGGTTCACGTACGGGGCGTGTCCAACGTCTTGGCCGACGCCCTGTCTCGCTTCGTTCCCCTCTCCACGGAGTGGACGGTCGACGACGAGTCCTTCCGTTGGCTTTGCCAGACGTTCGGGCGCCCCGAGGTGGACCTCTTCGCGTCGGCGTGGTCGCGGCGTCTTCCCGTTTATGCGGCGCCCTTCCCCGATTGCGAGGCCGTCGGGGTCGATGCCTTTTGGCTCGACTGGTCGAGGTGGGGGTTCCTGTACCTCTTTCCCCCGGTTCGGCTGTTGCTCCAGGTCCTGACTCGCTTAGAGACTTATCGGGGGAGAGTTGTCCTTCTGGCCCCTTGGTGGCCGGCCCAGCCTTGGTTTCAGGCGCTGGTTGCTCGGTGTCCGAACCCGAGGGTTTTCCCGCGGCTCCGCCTCTTTCAGCAGATCGGGCCGGTACGTCATGTAGCTGGTTCGATCTTCTCCTCGAGTCTTCGCGTATGGTTTTTTTGACTCGAGTCTATCATCATCTCTATGGTGATCAGGTGGCCTCCTTGTTGGTGTCCCACCTGAGGGCTTCTTCTCGGCGGCAGTATGAAGTTTCCTGGCGGTCCTTCCGTTTCTTTTTGCGTCTTCGTCGTGTTAGCTCCTTGTCTGTTCGGGTGGTCTTGTCCTTCCTCTCGTGGTTGTTTCAGGACCGTCATCTTATGCCTAACACTGTCGCTTCG